ATGCATATTTCGCTGTGAAGTTGTTGAGCAGCAAAACTATGCTGAGCGAGACACTGCGATATCGCACAATGAAGATGAGCTCGTTGCTGTGACCGAGAGTATGTGCAGTTCACACATTGCAAATGGCAAAAATACTCAATTAAAATATTCACAAGTCACATATGCTGCTTTCAGAGCGTACTGGTTAGATTTATTTTTTATAATAGTGTGTAAGCACCCACTGTGAACGAGAGGGCATGTTGGCGCTGTTTCCACTTCCGTCACTCAAAGCCCCTCGATGTTTCGATAGAGTTGTGTCCTTCGTTGACTCGATTGAGCACTGACTCGAGGGCCTTCGAAACAATCTGTGTAGGAGCCCGCACTTCACCATTGAGTTAATAGACTATCGGTTGAATGGCTGCCTGTGTGACACGGGTATATAAGGTCGGCGAACTCACTCAGGAGTCGATTCACTTGAACTCAAATCAACCGTGAGTCTGACTGAGTCAGGGTAATATTTTAGTGCGTTTTACTCTGAGTCTGGCTCAAAAAATTACTGTGGGTGATTCGGAGCGAGTGCAAAGCACAAGATATATTTTTTGAGTGAGTCCATGTGAGTTCGACTTGTGCTCGTTGACCTACACTCTGAGCCGCAAAGGAGCGAAATGGCAGTGAGGGTTGCATTTCGTCCCAGCAACCAACAGTTAGTCCGCGGAGGGATCACTGCAAGAAGAGGGTGCCGTGTCCGAACAGAGGCAAGAACTGTTAGATTATGGTGGCTAGAACCCCCCTAGTTAGACCATGCGAAGCAACGTTTACTCCCGTGGAATTTGCCGGCGCAGTGGCAGCCTCTAAGGAATGGTCAGTGTGTGCGTAAGCAAGTAGTTTCTTAAAGAAATGAACTGTTAACAGTTTCATTCAGTGTAAATCGTCGTAATAACTATGGCAACTACGTCATGAGCAAAGGAATATTGTTTAAATAGCTCAAATATCAGCAAATGTGTGAAGCCCCCCTCCTCAAAAAATAAAGAGTGCTCGTGCTCAAGCTGTATCAATGCGCGGCGTGGGGTTCTCGGCAAGCTGACCCTCCTTGGTGTAGTGGTGTGTTTTGGGTGTGTTATCGTTACCTGGCTGTCATTGCTGTCTTTTGTGGTTCACTGAATTATCTTTGCCCTGTGGTAAACGTGATCCGCTCCTGGAATGAAGTGGTACGCTATCGAAATGCTACGCGCCACCTGGGATATCGCCAGAAAAGTGAGTGTAAATAAACAAGGCTGCCATCACTCCGTGAGATTTTACCTCTGTGCTGTTGATATGTAACGTAGCGCCACTTATTTAACACTCACGTTCTTTGCGAACAAAACCAGCATGGTTGATGAGCTCGCGCTACACAGCGTTGAGGGTGTTACAAGTGTGTGATGCTGGGCCATCGAAATGTGGTAGCCTCGATAAGGGCTCGACATTAGCTGTAGCAAGTACAGTTGTTAAAAAATTGTTTTGCTTTCAGTGCAGCGCAAATAGGCATTGTTCATCAAAGATTTTCGCGGGTTTTTAAATAATTTCACTTAAATTCCACGCAATGTCACATTTTGCAAGGTAAAAAAACTAATTTAGGAAGGTCAGGTGCTAACATTGCAGGTCTAGCTTGGCTTGGCACCGCTAACAGAGGCAGTCCGGGGCTACAACGGTGATTACGCTCGTTTGTAGCGATGCTAGGTATGTTTTAATTTCATATCTCTAAAATGAAGCACAAGCTTCATTGATAAATAAGTGGGCCCACAATCGTATCGCAGAGAAAGCTTGGAGCATTAAACTCGAGAACGGGCTTCTTTAACTTTCTAACACGTTTTCAACTGTTCGATTGCATTATGATGGGTTCTTCGAAAAAGCAATTTTCGTCTAATTGTTACGTGATTGGACGTAACCACAACTGCTCCCACACGTCTTTCACTAATAATGAATGCTTCTGAAATTACTTTTTCAGAAAATAGATGACCGAGAGCATTGAGCCTTACGAGGAAAGTCAACATCTGGCAGCTTTACGAACACACTTTGAGCAGCTGTCGATGGTGCGGGTGCATTTCCTGAAGTCGGCTAGACAGCATCCATTCCAATAAAACATTGTATATATTATTGTCTCTCCTAGAATGCAGGAAAGCTATCATATCTTTTGTACTCATAAAAGTTGTTGAATTGATGTGTGGCAAGGTGGTGCAGAATTTACATGAGTCGCTGAATAAACTTGACTTCTTGTGCATTGTAACGCCTTGTGCATTGAGAGAAAATAAATGAAACTTGGCTGTTTCTTTAACAGTTCTTTGCTTTCTTTTCTTTGTCATTAAAAAGAAATTTTTGCTGAGCGACATTACCAAGCGTGCTCTGTATTCTAAGAAGCGAGCAAGCTTGACACAGTGACGGCAACATATACAAGAACATATATGCATACACTAATCAAGCACACAATTGCGCTCGAACCACGCGCACAGTAATACCTATTCAACGCGTTTTGCATTTTCACGAATGTTATTACCGAATGGTGCTTGCCAAACACTGAAGGCTTAAATGTAATATAAGGAATCTTCCTTAAATAACATGTCACAACGCGCAGTGTCGAGACGGTGGCTACGCATGTCTCAGTAAGGTTCACTCTGCCATGAATTGGGTGTAGTACAGTGGTTAGCGTACACGACTGCTGATTAAATGGTCACGAGTTCTGTGTATTTGTCATAAATTTTCTGTAGTTGATTTCTAAGTTTTATTCTTGCGTATTGACAGTATACGTCGTCAAATGTATTCGTCGACCTCCGATTTCTTGGTAATTCAAGCAGAAACTCCAATAAAATGATAACTTCCTTTTTTTAAAAAACAGGAGCAAATGATAGCAATAACAGTTCGTGCCTACGCAGTCACTTCCTCCCACACGGGGGTAACATTTACTCCTTGACATTTCGTCCCTCAAAACTGCTGAGGACTAAACAATTTGTGCCCTGACAGTTACTTCCGAAAGGACGAATCGTTCATCCTTTGAGGAGTAATGTTTCTGGCAATGCAGTTACCCTCTAAAAGGACGAACCACAGACGCTTTTGTGGCTTAGAGTGTATGCACGGGTATGATTTTTCTTACTCACGACAAAAAAGCGTACTGAAGTCAGACAACTGCTGCCTGACATAAAACTCTCAAAAATGTTTGTGTAAAGAGGCATCTAGAGAGCATTGTCCAAAACGTATGTTTTATTGATTCAATTTAGCTAACTAGTACGCGCAGAGTCATGCAAGTTTCTATATGTTAACTCTATAGTAACCCAAATATTTCTCTAAAGGGATCCATTGTGCATTGCCTCAAAGTGGAGGCACTATCGGAACTGCTTTGTTGATAGTTTTTTTATGAGTGTTGCGGATGGGCAACATAAGCGGGTATGGTAGGGTAAGACCCAAAAAAATCGAATTTCAGATTTTGACACCCAAATATCCACTGTACTCTGGCGAACGAACCTGTGGAAGCATGACATTGAGCGGCTGCTCCAAGCGGTTTAAATGCCGCGCCGAAGTGCACCGTGCAGCCTCTGGCTTGAACAGTATGCGCACGTAAAACTTCTTTTTCTCAAATTGCATTTTCTGTAAACTTTGCAACTTTGGTGTACCTTTTTTAAGAAATTATTGAGCCTCTTTCAATGAAACTTTCTATGCGTGAGCTACAACAAACTGAGAACACTCTTAACTAAAACAAGAAATTGTTAATTTCATAAAAATGAAGCTGTAAAAAAATATGCAACAAGACGCACCCTCCGTTGCATTGTGCAAGAAGTATTTTATTTTTTCTTTACAAAAGCGTCATGAAAAATCAGTATATTAGTTCCGATGTAACCTGAAATTCTCTACATCAACACGGCTGAATATGGTATATTCCTTTCGGTAGTTGCAAAGAAAAGGCACATTGAATAAGTGAACGCCCTTTGAATTTAAGGAGTGGGCCATAGGAAGGATAAGCAATCTAGGCATACGAAAACAATGTCACTTGATACCCAGAGGTATATTTTCTAAGCACGTAGAATTTCATAAAAATACTTTTAGCCGTTTCTAAGATATTTTGCTAGAACTGACATATACCATTTACCCTACCATACCTTCTTAAAAGGACCGACAACCAATTTTTATAGAACCTATTTTTTTAGCGCAATGAAAAGCTTACCGGTTAGTGTGTCTAACGGCGAGATGATAATGTGGAAAACGCCGCGAAACATATATAACCAGAATTTTTCTATTTGTGGCGAATATGAAGTCGTATACAAATGCTACAACGCATGTTACAAACAGTTGGTACCAGAACACTTCGTGTTCGAGCACGGTGGCTTACTGTGCAAGCGTGCACGCTACACGCATGCGCGTACGGCTCGACATCGACCACTGGGGACCGCAAAGGCAGCGCTGATTCTCCCCGCGCAGTTTCGTTTACCTCGTAAGCAGCACAGAATCGAGCGGGGCTAGACAGTATGCATACTCAAATTTCGAGGACTAATTATGGCGCACCTGAGACCATCAGACTGTGTGACTTCGCACAGCAAAAATAATTGACTCCATCATAGAGCTTCAATGGCCTTCCACTAGGCTACACGACACACCATTTTTTTTTTACCTTTAAAGATTTTTTTATGATGTAAACCCTACTTAGCTTGGGTACAGCATGTTTGATTCTGTTACTACAAATGAATCTTGTTTTCATTTCCCCCAGAATCAAGTCATACGTTCTGGCAAGTTGTCAGTCCCTTTAAATTACAGACGTGCTATTAAATCTGTAAAATCAAGTGAAACCTTTTGTGCGGCTTCTATATTACAGATGTAGGACAGCGAAAACAACAAGCGGTGTATAGGTGGCTCGACTACTCCGCAGCCCCACTTAATGGCATATTACAGTTTCTTGCATGTGATTCATGTATCACTGTCCACCTGTTTACACGTCCTTCATATAATATTTCGAGCAGGCTGAGCTCTAACGCATCTTCTCTTTCCTGAACTGTTCGCAGTGGCGAGGCCTCGGTTAAGGCGTTAATGCACAGGTTCCCGTGGGTGAAGCACCCGATGGGAATCAGGCTCGTGGACCTCCCACCTGAAATAGGGATCACCTTCATCTACGGCGCACACAGCTTTATGAGCCAAATGCCTGCATTTGCCCTTCGCGATGCCAGGACTCGGTCCATCGTCCACCTGCATGTAAGTGGCTGCGCTTGAACGGTTCTCTAGCAACGTGCCCACTTGTTATACTTGGCATGAAAACATATACGCCATGTGTGTTAACTACGCATCCTCACCGTTATTGAGAGCTTTTCATAAACTGAAATGCTCATATTTGCAGAAGCTGATCTAAGGGAGGCTTCTGGTGCGTGAATAAGATCTTTCTTTTAATTGTATAAAGATGAAAAGGAGAACGTTTCATGGCGTCGTCCGCTTACCAAAACAGATTAGGGTCTGTCTTATTTAAACGCATGCTTTCAATTCGCCAGGAAAGGAAAAGCAGGATAATCAAACTATTGTTACAAACGCTACATTTCTTTCTCCACAGATCACTTGCTCACAGAATGAAATATAACGATGGTTTTATTTTTTGTTAATCTTCGTTTGACAATGAAAGCACGTTTAATTCTTTGAGGTTTACAGGTAAAACCAAATCTAAAGATTCCTAGCCATCTGTAGGTGCGCTAGCTTATGGGTTGGATATCAGAGCTGCCACATGAATCGACTTGTGACCGCAAAGTATATCTTGAGGTATTTGAGTTTGAGCTGGCGCTTTGTAGACTAAAAATTTTGTGTCTACATCCTTGCAAATAGGTGCTTGAAGATTGTGGACACAACTTGCACTATGAGAAGCCCGAAGAATTTTGCAATGTGGTCAACAAAGTGTGCGACCTTGTCGACAGGATTCTACTGCCGATTATGTACTAAACGAAGCCGGAACATACGAGCTCACCTCTCCATCGCACGTGCACGCAGACACCCAGAGAAAAAAAAAGAACATCATGTGTACAAAACACGCTTCAGTGCAAGTCACTGCTGACATGTCTCGTTTCTGTTTGTTGGGGATATAATAGAGTACCTCAACCTACTACAGTAGCGCATAAGAGTCGGGAAGCGCTAAGTGAAATATAGTAGTTTCATATCACATTTTGTAGCGCTAGTTTGTTGCTCACCTTAGTTCCAGCATTTTTGTATGTATTTGTGCTTGTCTACTTCTGTCTAAGCCTTGGTCACATTGTCACCCACGCAAGTGTCTCCTTCTTTTACTTTTCTTCAATGAAGAAAAGGAAAGTGAAAATGCAAAAGAGCATGTTCTTCTAAAGCGGATTTTCATGCCCGTAAACCCTTGTTCGCGTTTCTGTTTTTTTTTTGTAAGGTCAGGCCAATTGAATGTCCAGGACAGGCCCTAACTTTGTTAGTTTATATAATTATCTCTCTATAATACTTTTTTACAGGATATAAGTTATATGCAAATACATCAATGAGCTGTCATTGTACATATGTTTTAATTTTGTTTTCGGTGGGGCCACCTAACGCTATCAACTGAACACTTACTTTCAACGTACTTAGAATCTCAATGATGGTCTAGGTACTTAACTAAGGTTACGCAAACACGCTTGTTGCGTTTCTGAATATTGTGACATTAGAGGTCAAGTGCAACGACATTTGCGTTTGGCGTGATTTGTTACACGTAATCAGTTTTCTACAGATATATGCATTCGTCGTCAACGAGTTCTGGAAATATGTAAGTACCCTATTCAACACCTCCTAAGGCTCCACAGATACCCTGCTTTTCTAAAAGACCGAGAAGACTACGATCGAGAAAGGGGTCCAAAAAAAGGATGCAATCTCTCTACTATTGTTCACGGTGTGACCAGCGTTATGAAAATGAACAAATTGGGAGCGAAAACGAAGAATATTTAGCACATGCCCTGTTTGCAGATGACACTGCGCTCTCTACAAGTACTGGCATCAAACAGCAACAAATGATTGAGAACCTCGTTAAGAAAACTTGTGAAGAGACACCAAACAGAAAACAATTTTTCTCATACGTAAATTATTCTTTCACAATTCCACATTCACCATGCCTGCCGTTACAAAACACTTAGCAAAAGAGAAAAAGCACAATACAGTTCTTAGAGTACAATATATCAAACTGAGTCAATTCATTGTTTTACTTTAGTGTCCCCTTAAAGTTAAGTTGAACAGAGGGATCAGCTGGTTAGGGGAAAGCAAGCTTGCACCAGGCCCCTCAAGTAACTGCCTAAAGAAGAGTAGTCGTAGTCTCTCTTTCTCCCGTCTTTCCTCGGCCGCATACCTGAGCAGCTGCTATAGACCTGCCATGGCGGTCTAGTGGTTATGGTGCTCAGCCGCTGACCCGAAGTAGGGTGACTTACCCGAAGTACTCGGAGGTTGAGGTATTGTTATCATCGGCCTCTCTGGCTTGGCTCTGCCTGGACGCGTAAGACATTGCGGCTGAACCTACCCTGATTTGTCCCGGTTTAGCGCTCCCCAGGGAGGCGCCAGGAGTGGTGACAACACGATGGTCGTTTTTCGAATTATCCAGGGCCGTCAGTGCCCCTCGTAAATCTCTTTGGACACGCCTGACCAACTGACAAATTAGGAAGAGCTGTCGGCCATCGAGGCGGCTTTCTTTCTATTTCAAGGTGCCCGGACAATGAGCCAAGCGTCTGAGATCCGTGTTCCTCGGCATTTCCCACGTTCTCAGTGGTGCATTTATTCTACAGTTTTCACAAACCGTGGTCTGCCTGGCACCACAGACTCTTCACTGCAACGAACTACAGAGTTATTAAACAGTAACGTTTAGTTACTCTTTCTTGAGACCTGGTTTAGACCAATCGACGAGCTGCGTGCTGCGTCTCGTCGCCTATCGCCGAATCGACGTTACTGCATGTGGAAGGAGGTTGGTCACGCGTAGGAAAGATGCGCGCGCTTGTTTGAGGTGTGTGAAAAAAAGTCGGAGGCTGTTTACTGATCCTTTAAATGTTTTGGCGCATCTCGGGAGAACCCCCTGCACCACCTTGTATTGGTCGGATACTTTTACTGAGCTTCCTGCTCCAGGAACCAGTTTATCTTTGCCCAATGAAGAAGGCGAGGATGCGAGAGCCGATTACCCGATGATCTCATGACACATCCTCACGTCTTTCATATGTAAAAAAAAACTGCTCATATATTTACATGATCTTACACAAGGCTCTTTCTGATGCATCAAATTTCGTTGCACTTGGCCTTTAACTGTTGTTCTAATGTTTTGATCTTCTTTGCACGTTCAATTGTAATATATAAATGTACACGTGGGATGAAAAAAAAAAACGCAAACAGCGCGGGGCTGACCAGATGGCCGCGATTTCAATCCCGGCCGCGGCGGTCGCATTTCGACCGAAGCCAAATGGTAGGGACCCGTGTCATGTGGAGTGTCAATGCACAATAATGAACACTAGATACAAATTTTCGGATCCCTCCTCTACGGCGTCTCTTACAATCATATCGTAGTTTTCAATCAGGATTCAATCAGAAATTCGATTAGAATTTATTTCCAGCTTCAAACGCAATGAATGAAACTTGATGAGTACAGACAAAAAAGCCATAGATCAATCTTGACTGGGTCCGCACCGCTCGGGCTTTGAAAACGTGGCATACAGAGCATACAAAAAGGCAAACAATGGGCACATGGCAGTTCTGGTTTCGCGACTTGAATCCACAGATATTACTATTATTAATATTATTATTAATATTAGTAAACAGTTCGGTGCATTGTTTAAAGGGACACTAAAGTCGAATAACAGTTTACGTCAGAGGGAAAGCTCAATGTACGACATCTAAAACGACAGTATTATCAACAACAGTGCCCTACTTACCGAGAAATTAAGGTAAATGCACAAGAGCACAAGCGCTGCAGTACGACATTTTCAAAATGATCCCGATGACATCAGATGGACCGCCTACATTTAATCACTAGTAATTGATCTAACTGCACTACATAAAGAACCTTCCGTGCATCAAGAGACACAATAAAATGCTGCTTGTTCGTTTCCGTTTGATCATGGAAAAAAGAACCGCCGGACGTTAGTATGGGGAATGACGCGAGTGGTTTAAAATTTCAATTTTCGCGTGGTTACACGAGACAGGTGGTGCCGTCTAGCGGGGCGCAGTTGAAAAAAAAAACATCGGCAATCTTGAAGTCAATGGCGGGAAATTGGGGAATTGCTGTTGTTGCTACTGTAGCTCCCGCTGCTTTCGGTCTTCTGCTACTAGCGCAATAAAGCCGGGCAACGTTGTGCATAGCAACAGCGACGTGAGTCGGTCTGGTCGGTCCGCTTTTTGAGGCTGGTAATTGGAAGTGCGCTAACCCGATGCGGACCTTGAAAACGTGATTTTATTTGAAAATATGCCCTCGGCTCAAAAGTTACATTACGAGGTTTCTGGACCGGCGTTTCAAATTTCAGCGTCGACTTAATAGTTGCCTTTAGTGTCCCTTTAGGTCACGCTTACACCTTGGTGGCAATAAAAGAGGCAAAATGGTTATTGACTGCATCTTGGCTGAGTTTTTAGTGAGTGACCTTATTGCCATCCAGGCTACAACTGCTTCAAAATAAATATGAAACAGCAGAGAATGTGGATGCAGCACTGTTTGCGGTTTTTTCTTCCTCCCTACTGTACGTTGTCTGAGGCCTATTTGTTTGTTTTTGAATTTTTATTTGTCATTGAATGCCTTCAAAGTGGTCAATTTTGTATTGTCAATGCTAGTGCACAATGTTATACACTACATTCATATATACATACTGCGTTGGCTGAGAGCAAGTTTTTTTTTAACTTGTTTCTCTCTCTTATGCAACGTTGTCATTACAAGCTTTTAAGCTTCCACTATTTTATTGTATATTGTCGTTCCGTGTTTTCTGTGTACAATGCTGTGCCTAATTTACATTTCTATACATTGCGTTGGCTGAGGGGAACTTGTTTTGTCATGTTTTCTGATTTTTATTTGCCGTGTCATCGGTTGAAGTTAGCAATGCTGTGTTGCCGTTTGTCACTGCGTGATTCAAGTGTGCAGTCTTATCCCACATTATGAAATATGAACCTGCAATATATTACATGTTCATTTTCATTAGAACTATTCTTGTGTGCTGCAGATACAGAAAAAAGTTACTCATTTCTTTAAGCGCATACGTATATTAGGTATTGTGTGCAGTGGCCACTTTTGTTTCTGAGCACCATAATATGAAAGGAAGTTACAAGAAATTTCTTCATGAACACGTTCTTTGTGGGCATACTCTTGCTAACACTTTTTTTGAAATTTAGTCGTATGCAAAGATACACAGAAAAAACTACCACTCATGCATAATAGTATACAGTCAGCCAAACCTGGACATTCTGGACAATGATTCACAGCTGGCCAGACTGAAGCGGTATATATGGCAGGAGAGAGGTTATCTGGTGTCTACAGTCGTGTGCTTCTACACACTTATGCCACCGATGGATCAAACCTCGCCGATGCGCTCGACTCTTGGCAGCCAGTCGAAATGCCTCGCTCAGCCGAGTCATTGCTGTGTATGGTTTCATCATCCAACACAGGTGGCAGCTGTATCAGCTCTGAAACTTCTGCTTCCATGATCATCTGAAGAAGGAACTGAGAACGCGTGGGCAGTTATTCGACGTCAGCTGCCCGACTGGTCACCCTGCACTTTCTCAATGAGATGTCTTACAGCGGGGTGTGAACATCATCTGTGCATACGCTGTTCTATGCTATAGCACAATGTAGTGAAACCATGAAAATGTCAAGTTCAGGGAAGATTACATTGTTTCGGCGATGGCGCAGTGGTTAGAGCATCCGCCTCGCATGCAAAAGGTCCGTGGTTCAAATCCCGGTGCCGCGCAGTTCCCAACCGGACTAAAAAAAAACGCGTGGTCATGGAACTGCATTAAGTGTCCTGGGGTGCGGCCTCACCGGCAACCACCGCCGGTAACGCACTCCCTCACCAGAGAAGGATTTGCCACCCTGGTGCAGTATCATGGCCACTACCTCCCACATGCATACGTCAATTAACTCATGGCCCTCAGTCCCCAGCAGCTGCGAAGCAACCGACCACGGCGGCGGTCAGATCTGCAACGCAGCAGAGGGTGCTA